GAGGAAGTGAAGAAGAAGAAGATGACACTGGTTCACATCTCCCGACTTTACTATAATTACCGCTACCTGTCTTCTGCGTTAACATCTTCTCCAACAATCATGAAGTTTAAAGAAAAAAAAAATTCTTTACACTCACATGCGCACACACACGAACCCGACAAACACGCACCCGCACACGACACAACATTGAGGGTGTAAACAGCACTTTCTCCGTTCACCAACGTCACAAGGTCAGAGGTCAGGTCACCACGCACAGCTGTCTAATCCCTCCTCCGATTGGTGGACAAGGTTTGAACAAAACATTCTATCTGCGCGTTGATTGGCTGACCCAGTCACCCCGCCGATACCCCCGCCCGTTCACAAACCCACACCACAACAAACCCGACTTCATAAACGTGGCCCTGAGAACTGCCGGCTCATATCAAACTTAGTGATCGTACGACATGGATTCAGTGAAAATGGAATTACCATCATTTGGAGAACATGTTTTTCAAGCGGATTATATTCAGAAAAAGCGAAATAGACGAGTGAGTAAAACATCGTGATTCTATATGTATGTGTTACAGTCAAGTTTTATTTCTCTGTTTTCTGTTAAAAGAACATTCTCTTGGTTTGCCGACTGTGAAACGACAGTCGCATCGTTGACAAGATTGTAACTTCAATCAAAATTGGGTATTAACCGTGATTTTTTAAAACGAATTCGTGTTGTTAACGAGGTTGGGCTATATCTGGATAGCTTTTCTGAATGAGCTGCACAACAAGTAACAAGTATTTGTAGGATCCTTGAAACTGTATTCATATATGATAAGATGTGGATGATCGAATGCGGCCAGTATCTGCTCCTGTCCCTGCATCTAAGGATAGTGAAACAATATATATCCCCTGTATCTTCTTCTTGTCTCCTATCGTCCGACCCACCCCTCTCCTAATCATCATCAGCCAGCAGCCGTTTTACAGAATTTCGCTAACGTCATGGCACGTCCGAAAGACCCTCTTCCTGTAGCCAGTTTTCTAGCCCTATGTGATTTCATAGCCGTTGCATCTTCAGCATCCTTCACCCGGAAACTACCTTCCATCACTATTCTCCCCAGGCACCCATGATGCTTCACATGGTCAGTATACCTTAGCTTTCGGGACAGAATGCTGTTTATGAGCCAGTTTTCCTCGATGATTGTGAAGGATTTCGTGGTTTTTATCCTCCTATTACTTCTCGCATATCTCTTACATATTTGTTGTTCCCTTAGATGAGGCCGTTTTCTCCGTTTAGTCTCATGTATTGGGTACAGTGAATTTCAGCATTATCCTTACTGTTTTTTTGCTAGGTGATACATTAAAGCCCACAGTTGGCACTGTATCTTCTGATTGTCTTCTTTGTCCAAATATTCTCTAAACACCAGCAAAAACAAAATTTTCTCTGCAGTTAGCTTTAACACGGTTTCATTACTCATATTCAACATTCAGAAACAGGTCACACCCTCCCCCCCCCCCCGTCCCTACCCCTGTTCTGGTCTTGGTTCTTGTGTCTCGTTCTGCAGTCCACACTCAAGTATTTGTATCAACGCTAGTCATCTATCCACATCCACATTGATAAGAGAATGTCACAACATCCAGCATGGAAATGACAGTGGAGGTAGTAATGTACATTTAGTTTAAATAGCTAGAGGGTAGCTAGTACATTCCAACATTTTGTGGTTTTGATCGACTAGCAGAACATACCTTAGAAGCGTTTGTCCTACGCGTAGAATGGCTTGAATCCTGTGGTAAAACTTTAAACAATATGTTATGGATTGTCAGCCCTAGCAGTTCGCATGTAAGGGGCAATGAGCACGCTGATGGATTGGCTGCTGCCTCACTTCTTGGCTGCAAGCTGCTTTTTAATAAGGCAGCGTGGTGAAGGTTCTCTGGTATCAAGTGGACAGTGCAAAAGTGCACAAAATCCATATCTGAAGGTGTTGATTCAGCAAGGAGGGAACAGATGGTGTGGACGAAATTCAACAGGCAGGGAACAGATGGTGTGGGCCAAATTCAGAAAACAGGCGAAAAGACAGGCAGGCGTTTAATCAGGTTGCACCTTTCACCAGAAGAAGACCTCTTCTTTGGACACACAGGAAGGGGGACAGAACACGCATAGGAATGTCTCAACTGCAGTGATTTTCATTCATCAACCTGTGAAACTCGTGTTTTGTTTATCTGCCCACTTCTCCTTCTTCTTTGCATTAACCAACCGTAAACTCTGGTGGAAAGTTCTGGTTGTTTGTCCACTTCTGGACTGCAGTCCTGTTCCGGAACCTGAGTGTTGCGTGTGCATCCGTTTGACAGATCTGACACATTTGTGTGCAGACTTCCTTGCCTCTCAGGCAGATGCACTCCGACTTCGAAGGATCTACCAACTTAAAATCTAATACATTTATTTTATGCTGATACTGTGCATTTGTTGTGTAAACAAAGCTAGTGCTAAATGGTTTAAGGTCCGGTTACATCTATATTATGTATAGAATTGTGTCGATTTATGCGCCATATGGCCGCCCAACGAAAATCCCCGTGCCGGCAGTATTCGAACACAACAGCCAGGCATACAGGCAGATGGTTTAGTTGTTCCGCCACCAGTGTATATGTTCGTGAAGTACAACCATGTTAACTAGTGGAGCTAGGGGGTGGGGAGGTGATCTGTCGCATATAAACACTGTATCACATGTCGTCTAGCACTTTACCGCAGCCTCAAAGTTCAAGGACATATATGCCGAGTGCGTTAGCGTTGATTTGCCTCTGACAATTACTCCCTCCCTTTGCCCGGTAATTGGCAGATAATTCAAGGCAGACTGAACCGTAAGAGTGGGAAATAATTTTCTTTCCCTTCTGTTTATCTGTTTGTATCTGTATCTTCTGTCGCGTGTTTTGTGTTTCTTCTTTCCTGTATCTGCCTTTAGAGCATAGGGCCTTAGCCAGATCGCTCCGTCTTCTTCTCGTTTGTGTTCTCTGAATGTGCCCTTTGCATATTCTTTTGCCTGTTCCACGTGTTATGTGTGTGTGTGTGTGTGAGAGAGAGAGAGAGAGAGAGAGAGAGAGAGAGAACGAGAGAGTTTATTATCATCGTCGTCGTCCTGTCGTGTCATTATTCGAGCATTATTTTTGTATCATGTGAAATCCTTTCGATATCATTCATGGAATCCATTCCGACCATGGTAGCTTTTCTCAGCAGCACTTATTTCAGGGTGTCACTTGGATATTCATGTGTCTTTAACCTCTCTCTCTCTCTCTCTCTCTCTCTCTCTCTCTCTCTCTCTCTCTCTCTCTCTCTCTCTCTCTCTCTCTCTGTGTATGTGTGTGTCCCCCTTTTATTTCAAAAACCAGTTCTGAAGATATTTCTGTGTGAAGGCAATTCAGTCGCATATCTATATTCGCTCTACTAATTTAAATTTTGTCTCGTTACTTTATATATTTATCTTTTTGAACATACAACCTGCAAACCCCCCCCCCCCCGTCTCTCTTCCTCTGAGTGTGTGTGTGTGTGTGTGTGTGTGTGTGTGTGTGTGTGTGTGTGCCTGCCTCCTATAATCATATTTGAGAAATCCTTACCCCTATTTTTTATTTTAAATACCTGTTCATGGCTGACATTCCAGAGTGAGACATTTGCCTCCCCTCCCCTCTTGTTTCTCTCTACTCTCTTCGTCTCTCAATGTTGCTGCGACAAACCGGGGAAGGGGGGGGGGGGGGAATAAAGTACTGTAAATGTACCGCTCAACAAAACGACTCTCTCCTATGCCTAACAAGCCTGTCGTAAAATGCGACCAATTAAGAGTGTTTCCTTTGAAGCCGAAGAGCATCTGACTGGGAGCCGAGGAACCAACAGCTTTCATTCAAATAAACAGGTGTGTAAAACGGATGTGCATAGTTACTACTGGACGATTTTATGACCTTCACTGACCAATTCCTCTCCCCAGTGAATTTTTTTCCATGTACGTTTGGAAAAAAGTGGCGGGGGCGGGGGGGGGGGGGGGGCGTTCAATCAGGGATTTGACCGTCTTCTCTATATTCCGGGGTCTCTGTGACGTAGTAGTTAGCACATTCATACCAAGCGAGCCAGTGTGCGTTTATTGGCTCAGGTACAATAAAAACGCATGCAGCAACATTGATCATGTGACCTTTAACCTCATGTGCTCAATATCATTTGGGTGTCGGCGCGCGTGCGTGTGCCTGGGTGGCTGCAGGTACATGTGCGCGTGCCTGACTCTGTAATCACATATTGTCATCATCATCATCATCTGTCGGTGTGTGTCGTGCACGTACATGTGTTCTGCACGTGCGTGCGTTCATGCGTGTCTCTTTCATGCTAGCTGCCTGTATCGCATCACCCACCTGCCTGTTTACGGTCCGCGTCATTGCTGCTGCTAAATAGCAATATCAGAAAGGACCTTACATTCCTGTGTGTGTCTGTAAAATTTCTGAGCCTGCCTGTCTTTCCATCTGTTATTCGGTCTGACCGGCCTTCTGCCATTCTGCCTGCTTGTCATTCTGCCTGCTTGTCATTACAATATCTGCATGTATCGATTGTCTGTGTGTGTGAATGTCTGTGTTGTAACAGACCTGCCGTTTCAGTCACGGCCTGTCATGTCCCTGTATTTGCCAGTTAGTCTGTCTGTCTGTTCCGGGCGGTATAACGACTTCTTTTATGTTCTTCATTACCAGTACCTGTCTGTCTAAGTCTGTCCGTCAGTATGTCTTTCTGTATGACCATCAGCAAGTCTATCCGCCTGTCCATCACCAAGTCTGTCGTCAGCAAGTCTATCCGTATGTCCATTAGCAAGTCTATCCTTTTGTCCATTAGCAAGTCTATCCGTCCCTCTATTTCACTTTTAGTTTAAAGTAAATATCGACAAACAATAGACAAAGTGATCACTTAGCATCATCAATGTGAATTAAATGATTTACATTGTCATTTGTTTTTGTCTTCTCTAGGGAAAAGTGGAATATTTGGTCAAATGGAAAGGATATTCAGTCAAGTGAGTATACTATTTTCATACTTATTGTAGTTCCCTGTTTAAATGTATTTAACCATTCTGGCAGTTGTTATACAGGTTTTAAACTGTTATATGCGCGATACGCCGAAAGGCGTGAAAAGGGATCTTTACTTTTACTTTTATATGCGCGATAAGACACCAAGATTCAGCACATGAATATTACAAGGTCTCCATTGTCCGGGAAATGCAGGAGTTCAAGGTAATGAAAGACCCAATTTGCTGGCTGCAAAAGCGATAGCTACAACAATAATGGTACTGGATAAAGGAGACATTCTGAAGACTGTTTATGAGCCAAAGCTGATGGTAGAAGACACCAGGTTAGATGAAATCAGATGTACAGGGTGTGAATGTGGTATTAGGCGTAGATCAGGCATGGGGGGGGGGGGGGGGAGTGGAACTTATGAAAGGAAGAGAACAGCCTGTGTATAATCACCGTGCTTCGGGAACAGTAAGCATTTACACTTTTAAACATTTGCTGGAGAAGACGGGGCATTTTTGGTTATGCCTTGTGTGATGTGATGTCGAATATAAAATAAATGATCAGTACGAGTTGAAAACGGACATGGCAGCTTCCCACATGGTTTCGGGGATCCCATTTTCGTTGGTGTAAGAATATACTAATTGCTGCTTAAAAAGCCTGCGGTCAGATCAGACGTTAGCTAAAATCGGATGTGTTAGGCCTTACAAGGGTGGATGGTACTTTGTGTTGTCGTTTACAGTTAGGCATGGAACGCGTTAACCAGGCTCACTCGGCCTCTAGGTAATGGGTACCAGAGTTGGCACTCTGTCGTAAATGGAGGAACGTGGCTGTAGCTACGGAGTTACGTACGAACGGCGACATAGACGGACAGTTTCTTATCAGCTGTCCGTACTGATGGCAAAGCACTTATGGTTTATAACCGTGTGCGATGACGCTGATTCACATCTCTCGACTTGACCTTTTTACCTTTACAGTTAGGCTGTGTTATTTGCGCCTTTCAGCCTAATACATTTGATTTCAGCAAATCCCTAATTGCCTGTTACGATATGTCTGTTAAGGAGCAATGGGTCCGTTGTTCACCCCACGCCTCTCCCCTTTCTGCATTCCCCCCCCCCCCCCCACACACACACAGACACAATCACACTGGGGCCCCGGGAAATATCAAAGGGGCTCTATTCGCGTTTCTCAGTCTGGTCTAGTTCAGAGGGGTGTCACGTTGTACTGTTTTCCTTAAAAAGAGTCTGTCATGGGACATAGGCTCTGGCTGCGAGTAGAGGGATTTGGGTTAGGGCCAGTTCTAGCTGTTCTGCGGTGTCGTCGTGTAGTACAGAAGACGCGGCATCAGCGCTGATGTAATTGGAGACAAGACAACGTGACACCCCTCTAACGTAAAACAGTCTGAGAAAGCCTTATTGAAAGGTCAGCCATTGTGTAGATGGGCCGGAAAACGTGAATAGGACCTCATGGGGATTAGGTGTACTGCTCTTTCTTTTCCATATGCTAACAGATAAAATCCAGAGCATCCATGCACGCAATTTCCGCACTGCCCCGTCCCATGTCTCCATCAATCTCTCCTTGTGCCTACTCTCTGCATGTCTGTATGTCTGTTTTGTCCGCCTGAGTGTGTATCTGGTCTGTTAGTCCGTCTGTCTATCTACCTGCGTCCTTGCATGCGTGTTTGTCTTTCTTTTTGCTTGCTCATCCCTGCCTTCCTGTTTGGACGCTGTCAACAGACAGTATGAACGCCACTTTGTAATGTATGTAGACTGTTGTTTATGACGTTAGGCTTAAATATTTCAGAGCCAGCATCTGTGGATTAAGGGTTGCTAACGCAGTTTGTACTGTGAAGATACCAGGTTCCATCTCAGATATGGGTGATTTGGCAGCAGACCGCTTTGCGTTTATTTCGACAGTTGTTAAAGTCGTCTTTGTGGGGTCTTACCTTCGAATTCAGAGTATACCTGCCTGGGAGGCGAGGCGAGGCAACAGCAGTCTGCATCCAAGTAAACTAGATCTGTAAAATGGATGTGCACGCAAGACTCAAGGTCGCGTAGAAGACCGAAATTTAGAAAGTGGAAGAACAACGAGGACTTTTCACCAGAGTTTACAGCCGTATAATATGAGAAGAAGAAGAGGTTTGCAACGTCCTCTAACTAAAATATATGCAACTATCTTTTTAACACCTGTGTCTTGCCTAGCATTTAAAATGCTACAACACGAATAGGTTAATGGAATGAAGATTAGTAATTTTTACCCAGATTTTTTCTTGGTTCTGCCCCCCGGATACACGTAGTTCTTGATTTGTTCGGAGAAAGAAATATGTTTATCAAGTGTCTGCATCTCTGATTTACTCACCGTCTTAGATCAGGGGCGGGAATTTCTGGGACGCTATTGCCGTTACATCCGACATTGGTATAAACAGCAGTGGCTCCACCTTGTCACGTGATGCACCTGTTTTTCGGAGTTTCCGGTTGTTTATCTGATCAGTGTCTGCCTACCCCTCAACCCCCTTTCCAGTCCGCCCTTGTTTTCTGGGCTGTTGTATGAAAGTGTGACCATATGGCCACCCTGAGACTTCAGGAGTCACATTCTGAAATGGTACACCTCCTAGTGTGGGTTTGGGGAACCCATTTGGTGGGTTTTCTCTTTGATGTAGGGGTGTATCTGTCTGAGTGGCAAGGAACTAATAGTCTTGCATACACATAATCCAGATCTCTCAAACGGATGTGCACACAAAACGCAAGTTACGGAACAAGACAAAGTTCAGAAGTGGTCGAACCATCACCGTAGAAGAAGAAGAAGGAGAAGAAGAAGAAATAAGAAGAATGGCACATCAAAAGGACGAATCCCAGATGTCTGGAAATACATTTTAGAAGAAGCAACAATAATGGTGATACCAGTTTGGTTTAGTCTGCAGTGCATGCAGTTGTGCAGGGGAGCAGTGTGTGACTCTTCTGAGTGGTTGGTTATCTGGACGGCGTCTAAGGCTGTCTATATTATATATTAACAGGTTGTTGATTCACACTCATAGAGTTATAAAGAGCGGAGGTATATCCCATGGTAGTAAGTCTTGTCATTGTATGCTTTTTTAAAAGTATGTTTCTCACGGGTAAACAAGTTTAAAAACACGAATCGAGATGTGGATCTTAGTAACAATAGATCCTTTTTTCATGGATCAAAATTGAAAAGCATTGGAAAAGGCAGAATGGACAAGAAATTAAACGTAATATTCAACTTAAGAATATTCAATTATGTTGCCAAATTGGCACTGCTGTGTGGTGCAGACAAACGGAGAACAGCTAATACAGATACTAATAAAATTGCACACTACGCCGGTGTATGCATAAAAAAGAGGAAATTACAGGACAGCCCAGCCACTAATGTGATGTTTTGGAAGATAACTACATTTATTCCATTGAAATACATATTGATGTAAAATGCGCTGGCTTTAAGGAGGACACATATTGAGACAAGCTGATAATAGACCAACTTGCATGTACTTGCACATACAAAACAATACCAACGAAATCAAGGTAGAGTAAAAATAACCGAAAAGAGAAATAGAGACGGTTGAATAAGATGGTGAAGGATATAAAAATACGTGATGGTAAGGAACAGGAAGATCCGGCGCGAGTCTGTTGAGAACCTGTGCTTTATCAGTAAGATAAAGAGAAGAAGAAGGTAAAGAAGAAGAAGAAGAAGAATCCAACAAAAATACTTATAAATATGTGCTTCAAATTATGAAATATATATCCAAAATTCTGATTTACCGTCCATAAAATGTTACAAGCAAATCCAAGAACAGCAGCAACCGCCAAGAAATCTGGTATCATAGCGTATTTGTTACCAGGTTTTAATAGGTATGATTAAATATAGGTAGATGACCTTCTTAAGCCACTCGCGGCATTGATTTGTGCGGTGCCACCATCAAGTGTGTGCATCTTGTGTGCTTTCTGGAAACGACTCCGGGGAAAGAGGTGGAAGTGGGATGAAGAATAATGGTTTGCTGACATTAACATTTTTTGTTGTGCTTTTTGGTTTATGTTCTGTTCTGTAAATGTGTATTAATTGTGGGCTATGCGTTCCTTCAGTAATACCATATGCAGGGCTTATTTTTTATTTTCCACGCTGCTTTTCCTCTTCCTGTTCTTCCTCCTATTTTTTTTTCCTTGTCTCCATCCTCCCTATTTTTTCGTCATCTTCATCATTATCTTCTTCTTCTTCTTCTTCTTCTTCTTCTTCTTCTTCTTCTTCTTCTTCTTCTTCTTCTTCTTCTTCTTCTTCTTCTTCTTCTTCTTCTTCTTTCTTCTTCTTCTTCTTCTTCTTCTTCTTCTTTCTTCTTCTTCTTCTTCTTCTTCTTCTTCTTCTTCTTCTTCTTCTTCTTCTTCTTCTTTGGCTGTTTGTGATTTTATTAGACGAACGCAAGGCGGTCTGTTGCCAAATCGCCCGCAGTTGGGATCGAATCTGGCTCCTGGATATTGCAAAGCAAATATCACTCTAACAGCATGTAAATAGACATCCATACTCCATATTCGAAAACAAACCCCAGGCCTGTGTTTTAATATTAGAAAAAGTAAACGACCCTTCTCCACGCCCTGACGCATTTTCGTTAAAAGGTGCAACACTGATAAAGTTTAGACCTAGGGCTGGTGATGAAGTATAATATTACAGTTTACATACAGCCTTCGAATATTTCTTTTGGCGTGCGATGTTACACGGGAGCTACCGTGGTTTAGCGGCTAGACGCTCGCTTGCGGCTCGGAAGTGTCGTGGGTTCAGATCCCGACGGAGTCCGGACTTTGTTTTCAAAAATGATCTTGACTCCCAGGCGACCCAGCCTGGAGTGGGTACCGGGTGCAGTCTTGGGAAGTGAAGGCGGCCGGCGTGATGCTGACCACATCACCTAGCGAGTGCTGTTGGGTTTATTTAAAAATAAGGGTTCTTAATTTATAACGTACCCCAATCACGAAATTCCCGTGGGAAATCCACAGCTGACCTGACA